AACTGGATACAGAGTACAGGAGTGGAAAGCAAGGGGGGGGGTGTCTATCACTTCCCTGACCACTATTTTCTTCCTGAAATTCTCCCAAGCTGTTTACTCCCAGTCTGTTTTCAGATGCACCCTATAAAAAGACTTCTGGCTCATTTGAAGAGAACTGCAGGGAAAAGTGGCAAATGAGAAAATGATTATGTGAGGGATTCTCAAACTGAGGGTTGTGGCTCTCTAACCGAAGTCAGAATTTTGAGTATTGCTAAGCTAATGAATTCGTTTTCTATCTGCTTCTTGTTCTTGGAAGAGACATAAAAGTTCTATGAACAAGCAACTATCCTGTATTTTTTAAATTATTATGTTACAGACTGTTGTTTTGAAACATATTAGCAAAGTTCATTAAATTTAACTATTTTAATAGATGTTTAACATTTGATATGTAAATTAATTATTTAAAATGGGGTATAGGTATTTCTTGCACAATCTTACCTCTAATGAAATAATTCATTTTGTTTTTTTGTTTTAACAGAGAAAGTGCACAAATTCATTTATCATTTAGGCAGTCGTGGTATTGCAAAGTTGGGAGAAAATTTGTTTGTACTTTTTGGGGCCTGTGATGGTGATGGTGCTGTTGATGTAGATGTCAGGCAAAGTAGAAACCTGGGTTGTTGCAGGATCTGGTGCCCATGTTGGCATCACTGTCATTTTTTCTTGTTGCTTGTGAGAATCTGCTTCAGGCTGATTGGTTGTCTATATCCAAGTTTGAGCCTGTCACCCTGAGTACCTGATAAAGTTCAGTCTCATTGTCCAGTATGGGCTGTAGCTTATTAATAATCTGTTTGAGTGGCTTGAGTTTTGAGCTGTAAATGACAATCAGTGGAGTTCTGTTGTTCTCTTTCTGTGGTCTATCTTTAAATAGGTCCTCCCTGGGAATTGATCTGGCTCTACCAATTTCTCTGTTGATTTTGTTGGGTGAGTAGTTCAGTCTCCTGAATGCCTGGTTTAATTCCATCAGTTCAGTATCTCTGTAAAGTGGGTTAGAACAAATGTGATTATAGTCTTGAACGTGGCTAAATTTGGTGGCGTGTTCTGGGTGGAAGCTGGAAGCATGTAGATTTGCATGGCAATCTGTAGGTTTCCTGTACAATGTGGTGTTTATGTGTCCATTGTGTAGCTTTACAGTGACATCAGGGACGTGGACTTGGTCTGTAGATAGGTCTAGACTGAGGTTGATAATAGAATGGAAATTGTTGAGGTCAGGATAGAATTTGATGATTCATTTCCACGATCCAGTTGACAAAACAGCTGAATCTCAAGTAAAGGAGGAGCTTCAAGGGGGAAGAGTCAGGAAAGTGTTGTTCCAGGTCAACCATTGTCAGCCCTGTAAGGTAGACCAGATCAAGAAACAGACAAAATGTTGGCCCAAAACTACTTTTATTAGAAACAAAAGGGACGTTCAGACTTCTTGCAAGTCTAAATGTCCCTCTCCTCCTCCCTCTTTTATCTTCATGTGAATTAGGGGGGCACCTGCCTTAAGTGCTTTTGTAAATCTCTATCTTTGGATGAACTTAAGCAATGTTTATCTGTTTGTTGCCTCAGTAAGGGATCTTCCCTCTATATCAAGGCCATCTTCTCTACTCTCTGCAGCCATTAAAATGTTGGCATATTCAGGAACTATGTGTGTGGCCATGGCTGTACCACTGATTTGCAGGTACATACTATTGCCAAAGATGGAATAGTTATTGGTGAATACAAAGACATACAGTGTAGTGGCAAGGTGTGCTGTTTTGTCATCAGTAGTGGCTTGAAGTCTATGTTTGTGGGATATGTTGCTATATAGTGCCTCAATATCCACAGTGGCTAAAATGGTGGTGTTAGGGAGATTGCTGGTTTTCTTAGGAAGTCTGTATCTTACGTAGCTGAGAATGCTGGTGACATAAGTTCTAAGGACAGACTCCATGAAACCTGATATTTCAATTCTAATAGTTACAATGATTAAGACAATGAGACAGCCCGGGTTGCCTTGTTTATGTATTTTGGGATGTAAGTAGAAAACGCCTGGCTGGGCTCCTGGGTGCTTTCATGTAGATGCAGTCCTGTAAGTCCTTAGAAATTCTTTCAACAGATTGCGTAGATCTCTCTTATATGTTGTTGTAGAAAAAAGATGGTAGAATACAGTGTTGGAGAGTTGCTTTTCAGCTTCCTTGACATAATCTACCTTATTTATGACAGCAATTAACCCTCCTTTGTCAGGTTATTTGATCTTTATATCATTGTTATTCTTGAGGCTTTGGATGGCATTCTGTTCTGCTCTGCTAAGATTACTGTAATATATATAGGAATTTTTTATTGATAATTGTAGCTTTATCCTGTTGTTGAAAGCATTCAGTGTAAAAATCCAATTCACTGTTGTATCCATCTTAGGGCATTCATGCAGGGTTTTTTTTATGCATTTGCGATTTTGTGATTCATAATTGTATGTTGTCCCAGGATGTGTTGGCTTGATTATGACTGTGTATCTGTGTTTTGTTTCTTGCCTTGAACATACTCCTTAAGTCTCAAACAATGAAAAAATGTTTCAAGGTTCCTCACAGAACTGTATATTTTGTGTGGGTTTAAAAGGCAAAGGGATAAGCCTTGTGCCAGAATAGACTCTTTAGCTTGGCTGAATGTTTACAGGATAGGTTTACAGTATTTTGGGGGGGGGGTTGGTGTCTGTGGAGTTCTCCAATTCTGGTGAGCAGTCCCTTATAGGACCTTGGAAATTTTGTTTTCTTTCTTTTTCTTCAAAAAGGTGAGTTCTATAGTAAAAGTCCATTGTTTTGTCCTGGTGAAGTCCTGATGTAGTTGAAGTGCCAGGGTAGAAATGGCTTTGACAATTAACTTTTGATGTTGTAAAAAATGCTTAGATGGCTTAGGAGTTTCTGAGAGAGAATATAGCATCATCACTGGCTACAGCCTGTGCAGTAGGTAGACTGTAGAGAGTTCTTCACTCTCAGTCCTTTAGAAATGATATCATGGTGTTTCCATTTGATTAGAAAAATTATGTCTCTTTGTATTTGTGCCAGTTATTTAGTATGTTTTATGGATACCCACTCCATCCAGTGCTTCTTGTTGTAGACATTAGAGGAGGAGGAGGAGGAAGAAGAGGAAGCTGAAAGCATGTATTATTATGCATGACAATCTGTTTGTTCTTGCATATATTAGCAAAAAATGTATTTGTTATTGGACTTAAAAGTCTCGAAATTTGTTCTGTCGCATCCTTGATCCTTGCTTCTGGCAGACAGCACACTTCACAAGCTGATGTGACTAGATAGCATACATTTGTTTGAATTTCTCATAGTAGTGAGTCACCAATTATCATGACTCTTTTCTTTTTCTTCTTATAGAGCAAAGATACATCCTCTCTTGTCTTGAAGGATCTACTACTATGTTTCTGTTCTGCAGTGTCTCTTTTTTCTTTCCTTGAATGCTCAGAGCCTCTTTCATCTGCAAGGCCTCAAATCTATTTATTATTTCTAGCAGTGCAAAATAATCTTCTGTGTCTCTTGCTTTTGATTATTGATCTTATTCCTGTATTTGTCTGTCTTCCTTATGAAGAGTTGCTTCCACTGCCAGTTTCTGTTGTTTCTGTCCTTTCTTTGAACTGATAAATCTTTGTCCTTTCTCATTGCCTGAAATATGGCCATACGCTATTTCAATCCTTTCGCTTTTTCTTTAAGGACAAGATACGGAGTTTGCATTTGGTGTAAATATATGCCAGGTTTTTTTCAAGCATGAAGACAAACTTGGCATACAGTATGTATTGAAGACACAGATACATATCTGTTCCTCTTCACTTTGCTTCTTAGAGACCACCAGTAGAAAAGACTTTTAGTTTTCTTGTTCCTTTCTCAGGTTCTCAGGACCCTTTAAACTCTCTAACCCTTTGAAACTCGGCTTCCTTATATATCTCTAACAACTCAGCAGAAAGCAGTTAGACAGCCACCCAAAACTGTTACAATCTGAACCTATTCAGCGGATTATCCTTTCATCCCACACACTTTGGTAAACAATTCCTCAGAATACATAGCTTCTTTGTCACTTTCTCTTTTCTTCCTGTTTTCTCTTCTATTTTAAATTGATCTTATGAATCTGTTCTTAGCATCATTTGCTAACTTCACTACTTTCTGAGGATCCGTTTTTCTGACACCATCATAACAACTGGTACTACCTAGAAATGTTTGTGATTGTATTTTTTAGCATATGCCCTGACCCATTTTGGACTTTTCACTATTAGTCTGTTCTGTCAAGAAATCCTATTTATCGTTGTTCTGAGTTTAAAGATTTATTATAGTCAACGATATGCATTTGACTAAACTCAGCTTTAATTTCCATTATTATTAGGGATTCCAACATTATGTGGTCGCTTTTCCCTAGATTTCCCACTACTTTTATGTTTCCCATAAGAATGGCAGGTAAAAATTCAACTCTCCCCCCCCCACACACACACATATATATTTTTAAAAAGAACAATAAAGGCATGCACTAAAAAGTCTATTGTTTGACTGTGGTTCTGTTGGAATGAAAATAGGAATTTGCTTCCTCTCAGCTGAGTCAAAGATTTCAAGTCAAACAAAGGCCAGTGGAAATTCAGCGAGGGTGAGCTGTGTAACTC